GGGGGGGGGTTGTTGTGTGCCTTTTCTGATAGATTGCCAAAGGACCAAGGGTTCCCTTGCTAAGTCAGCGATGTTGGAGAGTGGTGGCCCCTTTTTGCCATGGCACTTGCCATGCGGCTGTACTGGCACTAGGTGGCGGTCGTTGCCAGCCTGTTTGGTGTTTCCAGCTCCTTGATCTTGCTTGTGCAAGGTTGTTGGAGACCAGAGCCAGGCTACTTTGCATTCTCCCTGCTGCACAGATCCTTGCATTTGGAAGTGGAAAGCTGGTGGCATCCATCCACCTCAGTGCCATTAGAGAAGGGCGTGGCACATCAGTTTAGAGAACCTGCTGGTCTCTGCTGGATACTCCGTTGTCAAGCCTCAGGTGTTTCCTAGAGAATCCCTGCCTTACCTGAATGTCCCCTGGCTGCCTGTGAACTCTTGAGAGCATATGGGACAGTTTCTACTTCCATTTAAAACCTTGGAAGGCACCAGAAGCCAAGACTTCTGGCTGACATGGGGCTGTGGTGTTTAATTTGCTGTATGAGTGGCAAGTGGGGTATGTGTGTCTCTGTGCACATGACTGTTTTGCAAAGTTGGAGTCCAGATGAGAAAAGGAAGAGTCCCTTTGTGAAGAGGGTGGGAGTATCCTGGTAACAATCAGAAGCTCTACAAAATTGATGTTAATGGGATTCACCCTCTGTGCAACCACATTTTGTGTGTGTGTGTGTGTGTGTGCGCGCATGTGTGACTGGACCACCTCTCACCCAGGCAGGCACCGTCTGTCTGTCTCCTCACGCTGCTTTGCTTTATTTTTCAAAACCTAAACTCTTACTGCAGCTGCCCACTGCCCCTCTGTTGTGTCTGTGTCCCACTGGCCAGGACTTACTTTGCACCCAATAGGTTTCCCTTGGCTGGTCGTCAGTCTTACTTCACCCCACCTTTTGCATGCCTGAAGAAATTCCAAGCCCTGCCTACCTACTTGCTAATTCTAAAACTCTACCTCTGCCCAAGAATAAACCCCATGCAGTAGGTGACACTTTTTTATTGGGTCCCCAGTGTTTTGTGAGAAGCTCAGGATGATCAAACAAAACTAACACCCTTGAGTAATAAAAGGTAGGAACACGGGCAGGCCCTGGATTTGATCAGCTCACCAGGTCCCATCCTCCCAGGCCATCTGTCCTAAGGAGTTTATAAGGAGTTAGTACACTGGAGGGCAGGGAGCAGATTCAGGCTGACCTGGACAGGTTAGATCAATGGGCAGAGAGAAATAGGATAAATGTAAGGTACTCCACCTGGGAAGGAGGAACCCCCAGCACACCTATAGGTTGGGGAGTGTCCTTCTCAGCACCTCGGAGGCAGAGAGGGATCTTGGAGTCATAATTGACTCCAAGATGAACATGAGCCGGCAGTGTAACGAGGCCATCAACAAGGCCAGTCGCACCTTGTCGTGCATTAGCAAGTGCATGACTAATAGATCAAAGGAGGTGATGCTCCCCCTCTATGCGGCACTGATCAGGCCGCAGTTGGAGTACTGTGTCCAGTTTTGGGTGCCACACTTCAAGAGGGACGCGGAGAATCTCGAGAGGGTCCAGAGGAGGGCCACTCGCATGATTAGTGGCCTTCGGGAAACACCCTACGGGGGGAGGTTGAGAGAGCTGAATCTCTTCAGCCTTCACAAGAGACAGCTGAGGGGAGATCTTGTGGCCGCCTATAAATTTATTAGGGGAGGTCAATGGGGAATAGGTGACACGCTGTTTACTAGGGCGCCCTAGGGAGTGACTAGGAATAACCGGTGTAAACTAGTTGAGAGTGGATTTAGGTTAGATATTAGGAAGAAATTTTTCACAGTAAGGTTGGCCAGGATCTGGAATGGGCTTCCAAGAGAGGTGGTGCTATCACTTAGCTTGGAGGTCTTCAAGAGGAGGCTAGATAGTCACTTGGCTGGGGTCATCTGACCTCGGTCCTCTTTCCTGCCAGGGGCAGGGGGTCGGACACGATGATCCATTGTGGTCCCTTCCGACTCTACAGTCTATGAATCTATGAATAAGTTGGCCTCCCTCATTCATCTTGCTTCACAACAGAAACTCGGGCCAGACTGTAACACAGGAGCCACTGGCAAAGGACTATAACTCTGCAGGTCTGTATCCAGAGCAGAGGAAGGGAAAACTATGTGATTTGGCAGTTTTATTTCCTAGCATATATCGCCCTCCTGGATGTAGGTAGCAAAACAGTACAGTCTTTGGCACCTGGAGTTTTGGGAGCACCTACTTTTTGCAAGCAGAGAAGGGCTAATCTTTATGTGGGTGGATCTGAGAGGCTAGGCCCTGGCTGCTATATCAAATCAATGCTGCAATAACAGGGCAGGCCAACTCTTGAGTAAGAGCAAAGATTTCGTGGGCTATAGTAGGAGCTCATACTGCCTAGGACAAGGGTGTCAGATACGAGCTGCAGGGTGCATCCAGCCCATGCAGCTGTCTCAGAGGTCCTGGAGGGGCTAGGAATTCAGCAGTAGGGCAAGTAGAAGTGGCGTTAACCCCCTCCTCCCTGCCCCCTTGTCCCCCAGCTCCCTGCATGAACATAGCAGCTCAGGTAGCCACAGGGAGGAGAGGAGTGGGATAACACCAGTGCCTCTTGCCATGCTGCTGGACATGGGTCTGGATCCAGCCCAGGGTGCTAACTGAGTCTGACACCCCTGACCTAGAAGAAATTCTTCCCACAGAGAAAATGCTTTCAGGCCAGTTAAACTCCTGTTGCACTGGAGGGGCTGATCTCTAAACTCTCTTCTCCTTGAAGCTTTCCACGTGGGTGCTCTAATGCATGATGGAGACATTCAGAATAGCTTGCAGGATTGTTGCTGAGGCTTCACTTGGGCATTCTGTAGAGGAACAGATTGGGGTGAGGTGGGTGTGAAACAACTGGTTGCATTCAAGGCAATGGAAGTGCCTTGAAATACAGTTGAAGGAAGTGTGTGTGAGAGACACTGACCCTTGCAGCAAGCCCCACCCCTGCCTTCTGGAAAGGTGGGTTAACTTCTTATTTAAAGCTCTGAGTGTCTAATTTTAGAGGCAGAAGATTAAAAAAAAATACCTCCCTGTCCTTCCACAGCCTGCACTTTCCTGCTGCAGGCTGGATTTGCCACCCTCCCATGTATACCATACAGCTCTCTGCCAACCTACCATATTGTACAATCAGTTCCTGTCCCATCATCCTTTTTGCTACCCCCAAAATGTTACATCTGTTTCCACGTGGAAAATAACCTGACCTTCTCTTAGCGCATCTGCCCTGCCAGCCCCTTTAGCTGTGCTTGTAACAGGAGGGCTGAAGGTGACCTGAGAGGACTGATGGCATGAGCAGCTGTTTTGCTGCTGGGGAAGAAAGAGCACAGAGTTGTGGGTTTCATTTCTTTTAATTTTTTTTAATCTCATTTTTGTTCAAAGATGTTTCCTTCCTCAATACCCAGGTGGGGGTAATGGGAATAATATATACATGTGGAAATAATCCTTTTCTTTTTTTAATGAAGGGTGCAGTCTTGGATATAAGTGTGAGGCAGACCTTATAGGCCTTGTATAGATCAAATCACTCATCCCTGGGGATGTGAACGTGATTCTTGCATCCTGTTGCTGTCTCTCTTTAAATTGGCTCTTTTGGAGTTTGATCATTTCATTGTATTAGACTTGGGTCAAGTCGCCTATTTTTATTTGATGTGGTTTGCGAACCATCTCGGGTGTCTGTCTTGCATTTGGTCATGGTTTCTCTGGAAATAAAATTATAATTAATCTAATCATTGCTACCCTTCATCTGATTTCCTCCCATCCCTTCACCCCCTATTTCTGTCTAAATGAGTCCTATTTTAGCAGCTCCAAACAGTAGCATAACTACTATGGGTGCATAACAAGGGCACCAGCCCCAGCAGTAGTGTAACCGGGGACAGGGGAGGCAAGAGGGGCACCAATCCCAGACACTGAGTTGTGGGGGGAGGTCACTGGAATGATGCCCCCCTCCCTCAGAATCTTTGCCCCTATTGTAGGAGCCAAGCTGGAGAAGCCCTGTACCTCCTGGCTATAAGAACCATGTGCCAGGACAGTGCAGGAGCAGCCCTGTGGCACCTAGCCCTAGAAACCAACCAGGAGCACTCCTACACTGCTCAGCAATAGGAGCCAGATGCAGGGATGTAGCAGGGGTCTTTGATTCCCCAGGGCAGGTAAGGCCCTCTTACAGCTGGGTAATGTGAAGCTTCTTTAGCTGGGTTTCTGTGGTGGGGGAGGGGGGGGGCTGCTCCAGGTGTAACAAATTAGTGCTCTTCCCCCCCACCCCACACAAGTTCCACTCGGGGCACCAAAATTTATAGTTGTCTGTGCCCCAGGCACTGACTCAAGAGGGAGTGCAGGAATGGATCTGCTACCCAGATTGCAAAACCTGCTCATTACACCTGTAACTCCACACCAAGCCCTTAATTCCTGAGCTGTGCTTCCAATCTTGAACTGAGCAGAGCATGGTGGGGCAGCCAGCTGGGGACTGGGGCTGGGCTAGTGACATTGTCGCCCTGTCTAACACCTGCACAAAAAGGAAGGAAGCAAGCATCCACCCAGGACGTGCTGATATTTTTGGAGCAAGTATTAGTTATTGGGTTGGGCTGGAAAGCACAACTGACATGGAGTAAGTGGGTGAGAAGGAATCAGCAGGGCTGGATTCAAAGCCCCTGGCCAGCATTTAACTTTAGGAGGGGCAGGCCCAGTGGTCAAGCTGGCTTACACTGCAACTGCAAACGGTTGGATTTCTCTGTAGGAAGCCTGATGGGAGCAGAATCACAGCCTCCCCCTCTCTAAATTGCATCAACAAGGGCTGGAAGGGAGGCTGTGAAATCAGCCCAGGGGCTCTGCTCGGGGTTTATATATACGTTAAAATTCTATTCAGCTCCACTCCCTTTCCATGGCTTTGTCGATTTCCTGCTGTTCAGCTGACGCGATTGTGATGCTCACTGGCAACTTCATACAATCAAATCCAAAGACTCTTAACACAGCCCCGCTCTTCATTACATATTCCTGGACAGAGATGGAAAGGAGCAATGGGTAGCCAATCCTTACGGGCAGAGGGAAGCTTTCTCACTTAAGACTCCAACACCTCCAAGTCCAGACCAAATTGCTTTCTTTAATGCTGCCTGCCTGCTCTGTTTGGAATTCCTCCCTAGGGAAATAAATTAGGCAGTCACAGCAGCGATCTGCCTTTTTCCAACAGCGGGCAAAGCCATAGAAGAGGAAGCTCCACCTAAGCTCAGCCGGGGATCAACTGATCCCTCCGAACAGGGCTTTCTGTCCTGTACCCAGTGCTTGCATACCGCAGTGACTGGCACAATGTAAGTACCACGGTTAGTTAGTAACATTAGACTTGCTAACGTCAATGTGGAGGCCACATCCCTCTAAGCTCATTGCAATGCCACTGGACAGAAGGTAGGATTTAATATCTCAAGATTTATTCCAAGCCTGAAATTCCTTCCACTCCCTCTGTGCACTTGGTAAACCTGCCCTCTATGAATGCGCTAACTCCAAGCAATAGAGCTGTGCCAGATCCAAAGTGGCCCTGAAGTTTCCTGGGGTTGGAAAGTGGCTATAAGCTCCATGGGCTCTTTCCAGTGCAGTTTAAGACCTGGTATTTCTGGAGGGGGAAGTGGGAATGTGACCAGTCACTGCAGACAGTAAATAGGTAGCTTTGTGAGCTGAAGTGTATACATATTTTTCCAAAAATATATTAATTTTTCCAAAGGTGCTGAGTCACTGCTGTTCCCGTTTTCAGTCGAGGTGTGTGGGTATCTTCTTGCCTCTGAAAACTAGGCAGGGAGTCCTTTAAACTACCCCTTCTCAGTGCAACTTGTGGACTCTGTGTGCAGTTTTTGTCTTGGGCCATCTGCCAGAGACAAGAGACAGCAGAACTTAAGCTAGTAGTTGGTGCCCATGCCCCCCCTCCCCCAGGCCAGAATTGATCCAGCAAGAGTCACAAAGCCTAGATATCAGCAGTGATTTGGCCGTGTGGGGCTTTGCCTGCATAATGCCTGGGTGGTGGCAAATGGCTGGGTAGGAATCTCTGGACAATGCTGGGTTCTTTCCACTGTTCCCAAAATGCTGCTGACCCCTTCCTTAGACAATAGCAGGGGACCATACAAAAAAGTAAAAAGCCCTTTGAAGCTTGGATGTTTCTTAATGTTAAGATTCTCAGTGACCAGGTTCTCTGCAAAATGCTGCCCCTTAGCCTTTTAGCTTCCAAACAATTTTGGAGAGTGATTTAGAAAGAGGATTAATTTGGGGAAGAATGCCATGTGCTGGCTGGCAGGGGGAAGGGGAGAATTCCTGTACAAAACTTTAGAAGGGTTGGAGTGGAGTTAAAGATTTTGCATTTTAAAAGTCTTTTGAGCAGTAATCCTAACCACTTCACACTCTTATAGAATCTCACCTGCTTTTTAGGCTTTTTCTAACAGATGTGAGGTGAGACAGGATAACGTGCCAAACATGTAAAAGGTTGCCAAGAAGAGGGAGAAAAGAATTGTGTTCTCCATGCCTATTCCATCTAAGATGGACCAAGGTTGGGACACACAGGGCACTGTGGGCCTGGGCCCACACACAAGCTCTCCAAGGAGCCACTGAAACCCTGCCCAGAGATGTGAGCGAATGATGGACTGGAAGACCCACAGTCACTAGGGGTACTCCCTCCCCCTGGCCAGAGCCTCCTTTCTGGTCAGATAGATAGCCAGCTTAGCCAGAGCCAGGAGGAAGTTGACCAGGAGGTCCCAGGACTTGGTGGGGCCAGGGATGGGGAGCGCATAAATGAAAAGGTGCGGGGAGTAATACAGCCAGAACTTTGGCAAAAGGTTCTTGAGGAGTTGCTAAAAAGGCTGCAGCCTGACGCACTCAAGGTAGACATGTGCCAGGGTGTCAGAAGGGGCAGGTGTTGGGGATGTCCCTGCATCATGCCAGGTATATGCCTGTGGAGATGGCTTCGTGGAGGAGCCACCAGCTGAGGTCCCTGGTGGCTCGTGGAATGAGGGTGGACTGTATCTACGACGGGAAGTGATGGAGTTAAATTACAGCAAAAGAGATTTCAGTTGGATGTTAGAAAAGCTTTCTATCAGAAGGATGGTTTAGCAGTGTCAGGATTCACCAAAGGAGAGGTGAGCTGTCGAAGAACAGGTTAGGCAAACAGATCTCAACCATTCCTGGCAGCTGGCTGATCATGCCTTGGGGAAAAGGGAAGACAGTGTGACCTCTCAAGAGCTCTTCCAGGTGCTTTTGCCCAATGGAGATAGTCAAACTAAACAGCTCACTTGCGTTCAGGTCATAGGTTTTATTTTCATTGGATTCTCATGCAATAGAGCTGTGGCACAGAGTTTGTATCTCAAACATACCTCTGCTTGGAAAACACAGTTTGCCACAAAATCAGCATATGCAGTCACTAGAATGTCATAAAAATACTTAGCTTCGTGTAAGACTCTCCCAGGCTTTTTTTTTCTTTTTCTTTTTTAACTCACTCTCAAAATATCAGTCTCTGAGTTTCCTTTCAATTCCTGATCAGTCGGACTGGCATCAGACCATGAACTTTGCTAATTCTGCCCCAGGAATCCCAGTGAAATTCTAGCTCAGACAGTTATATTCTGTGCAACTATGAAAGTGATTTCATTACTAGTCTTGTTACTGCTAACTTCCCTTCCTGGAACTGGGAATACACTCCTTTTCCATTGCCTCTTAGAAATTATTCTGGAGTTGATGCTGAACACTAGTGGCTGGTCTGCTCTGCCCAAAGGTTGCTGTATATCATGCACGATGAGGCTGAGTCAGGTGGGGGGAGGAATGAATGAGCAGAAGTGGGAAGCAGCGGACTTCTAATAGCAGCTCTAAATCTCTTTCTTTCAAGTAATCACCCCCTCTTTAATAGCTCTGTGACTTGGTTTCCCCATCTATGAACAAGCCTGCAGCTCTCCTCTTGTTCTGAGGGATGCAGAATAGTTTTAGGATGTCCTATAAGCACACTGAACCTAAGAGAGTGCTCTGTACGTGCCAGTATAATAACTACGTTGGGGTGACTGGGGAAGCTCCCCTGGGTGCTAACTTGGGGCCGGGGTAGGAAGCAGGAAAATACCAAGTGCTGCTGCAGCCCGCAGAAGGCCTGGCTGGTTTGCTACGTCTGATAAATACTCAGCTGCTGAAGCAGCAGATGCTTTGCAAATGCATGAATTGAAGATGATCTCACTTTAAACATCTAAACCTAGGGAAGGCTGCCCCCATCTTCTGTACTATCATAGCTCCCAAAACCTAGCTAGGCCTTACATGCTCCCTATTTGGGAACAGGCAGCCTCTGCCCACAGCCCTTGTTGTTAATAGAAGCTTAGAATATACTAAGGGACCCCTAATTCACCTGCCTGCTTACCCCTTCGCTGCCAAATATATCAAGGACATGAGTGATGTAGCTGATGTGGGGGGGGTGTTAATGGAGGATCATGCACTGGGGGGATTATCTGCCTATCATGGGTTTTATCTAGCTACCGAAGCTGCACATCTATCTTAGTCAAGAGCAAGAGTATTGCCCTGCCCAGCCCGGCATCTTACACCACAGGCTGCTTCTGCGCATGGACAAAGAAGACTCCGTTCACATCGTCCACCCCAATCTTCAGGCTGGGAGGCATGATGTAGGAACGGAAGTCATGGATCTTGTAGCCACTCTTGGTCAAGGCCTCTTTGACATCGGCCTCACTCACTGGTACCACTGAGAGCTTGGCCTCCCCAGCCAGGTAGAAGGACTCCTCCAGGGCTCCGATGAGGAGGAAGTGCCCCCCTGGCTTGAGCAACGAGGTGACATTCTTCAGGGCTCGCTCAAAGCTCAGCCGGTCGGGGCTCACAGCCTCCAGGCAGAAAGTGGAAACCATGGCATCAGCTAGTTGGCGGAGTGGGGAGCCCACCGGGTTGGGCTGGTGGACATCAATGGGCAGGATCTGCCTCAGTTTCTCTCTCAGCTTCTGCTCTTTCTCCTTCCACTGTTCCCTGTGTGAGCCAGGAAAGAATCAGGGCTGCCCATGAGAGAGGGCATGGCAGGGGTTGGGGAGGGAGACTCAGCTGGTCACAGGGAAGGGGCATTAACAAACATGTTGAGTCTGATTTGTGCTACAGGCACACAAGGGAGATGAATGCATATGGGAAGCATCACTTGGTGAGTGAAGGAGTCATGGGCCTGGACTCACTTATAGAGCAAAGAGGGGAGAGTGGGAATGTGTGTGTCAGACCATATGGGTATGAGTGTGAATTGGAGGGAGTGTGACTTGGTGTGGGAGGCCATACGGACTATCCTGCATTGGAGGTTTTCAAGAGGAGGGTGGACAAGCACTGGACAAGGACGATTTAGGAGGAGCATCCCTGCCTTAGGGCTGGGACTCGGACCACCTACTCTGTGTGTGCCTTCCAACCCTGTGGTTCTATGACTCTAGTGTGAGTGTGAATCTGAATCTGCAAAACTGTTAGTATGCATGTGTGTGCGTGCAGCTGAGCATGACAGAGAGAGATGGCATGAGTGTGAATACGAGAGCATGTATATATGACCCAGTGCCCATTTGTTTGCATGTGCAACTGCATATCACTGTGACTGCGTACGTGTCCTACTATGGTAAGTGCATATCATACCACGGCTAGTGCTGGGGGGGTCATAGACTCTTTGTATGGGGGGCCCCCACCTGTGATACATGCAAGCTGACAGGACACCACCAGTCCCTTCTCCTTTGCTCACCACCCCATCTGCACATCCCTGCAGCTCCATCCCCACTTTCCTCTTATCCATTCCTAACTAGCAAATAGCAACAGGTCCTATCCCCCCCAGCGTTGGAAGTATCTCCATTGACTTAAAAATTCAGCCAGAGCTTGGGGTTTTAGGCTGAGCTGCCTGGTGTCTCCAACGCTACCCAGCCCCCCAGCGCAGTGGATCCCCTCATTCCTGTTCCTGGTCACAAAGGCCACAGGTCTCCTTACAGTGTGTCTGCACCCAAACCTCTGGACATCAGAGCCCTGTGTCTTGCTGGCAGGGTTATACCACCTCTGCTGCCTGGAGGAAGGCTTCTGGCACCATGCAGCAGCTGGCAGCAGGCACATGTAGATGCTCCCATGCCTTCTGCCAGCCCCTGCTGTCTCTGGTCCTTCCCAGAGTACGCTTCAGGGGGCAGACACAGGTAAATGCAGACAAGGCCAGCCTCAACCCTGCCACCACCCAGTCCATTCAATCTGCTTGCAATGCTGTTAGCTTGGCCCTGGCACCCTTTCCAGCCCGGTGTCCACCCATGCCATACTCTGACCACTGCTTACCCTCTGCCCTCAATCTTGCAGACATGTTTGATGTAGGGGCTCCAGTCAAAGACATCCATCTTGTCCTGCACCCATTGCCGGAGGACCTCACGATTTACCTCCAGGTAGTCAGTGGCAATGATTTCCTCAAAGTGGTCACAGGCACTCAGGAGCTGGTAGATGGTGGGACCAGAGCCGATGTCTATCAGGGTGTGGCCGTGGATTTCACCTAGGGGAGAGACGTGTGTCAATATGAAAATTATAAGAAGGAAGGATATTTTGGTCACACCCACTGATGTCGGTGGGGCTGCAGTGGTGTATCAGAGAGAAGAATTGGAGCCCATGTCCTTGAGCAGTGATTCTCAACCAGGGTGCCACTGCACCCTGGGGTACCCCGAGACCCTTTCAGGGGTGCTGCAGGCTGTTATACAATGTTAGTACTGTTAGGTATACAGATGTGATTCACAAGATAAACTCAAGTGATTTCAAATGGGAAACACCCTGCCCTGCTGTGGGATTTCTGAGTTGTTTGCAATGGAAGAATTGCGGTAGTATTTTTCTGTAGTCAAAAAACAAGCAAAAGCTAAGAGCTGGCATTTTTGTGAAGTACCTTGATTCTAAAAAAAGGTTGAGAACCACTGTCCTAGACTCTTCAGTCTTCCCCAGTAATAAGAGACCCAGAGCAGGGTGGTTTGAGCTGGTGGATGCTACTGAGGCTGTAAGACCCACTGTCACCTTGGTCTCTGTGGGGCCTGTCCCAGAGAGGCTTCTGGGAGGAGGCCAAGCTAACACCCCGAAGGGGGGGCCAGCTTCACGGAACCTAGAAGCCACGGGATAATGACCTAATGCATCTGCTGCTGTTTGCTGATATGCAAAGACAAAAATAAGAAAAAAAAAAGGGGGGAAATGTCCTTGCCTGACCAACGGCCCTGGAAATCCTGACCCAAGAGGAACTTAAAGATAACAGCTTTTACTTAGAAATGGCAGCTTTGCAAAATGAGATAATGGCTTGGCTCTAATCCCAGAAAGGCAGTGAGGCTAAAAGTGAACCCCCTTCTGAAAGAGATAGTTAACGAGAAGGAAGGTATAAAAGTCAGAAAACCTGGGCCCTGAGCGGAACTGCTTCGGGGAGGACAAGGCTGAGGACCCGAGAAAGGAGGTAGTCTCCCCACCCTGGACGCAGGGTGGGGTTCCCGAGACCCACCTGGGCCGCAGGGTGGGGTTCCCGAGACCCATCAGGTAATAACTTAGAACAGGGTGGGGAATGCCTTTCCTCCAGCCCGACCCGCTAGCGGCTTGTAAGCTTGCGGTGTTGATTTAATGCATGTTGTTTTTGCAATAAAAAAAGTTACACTTGCTGTTTTACCTTGGCGTGTAACCTGTGGGTTACCTTGGGAAGGGAGGGAGCCCTAACAGTCTCCACAGTACCTGCAGCACAGTTAATCCTATAGAAACGATACAAGAGCAATGCTGGCAGCTTTCAATGGGGATGGTGCGAAATGGAAGCCAGGGCTCCTGGGTTCTGCATCCCTGCTCTGAAAAGGGAACACAATGTAATGCAGGCGTCTCCAACTCAGGCTGTAGTATTTTGTGGCTTGTCATGTGGAAACAGCTTCTTATTAGTTACAGAAAGTTCTATACAAGTATTTAAGGTACAGAGAGAAGCATTTGCTTCTGCCTTTGTAGCCAGCCTGTCTTGCAACCTGAAAGGTTCTGCTGACCTCGCGCCAAGTCTCATGCAATAACACACTTA